AAAAAAAAAACAAAACAGCCAAACAGGGACTGTAATGCAAACCACATTTATAGTAGAACAGGAAACAGATGATTCTTCAGCATAATTTCCTGGAGATCAGTTGGAAAGGTATTTAAAGACTACACCAGCTATTAGATCTTTTGTCCTGACCACTTTTCTCCCCAACCCTCTTTCCCCATTCCAATGTCATTCCTCCTAATTCTGCTGGAAACAATGCCAACACATAGCGCTATAAGGGTGGTTATCAATTACCAACACTGTATTTAACATGTTCAGGTCTATCAGAAATAAAGAATTAAATAAAACTAATCAAACATGTAACTGATCCATGTTTTCTTCCTAAGGTATTTAGCCCCACCGAAATGTTCAAACTAGTATCTCACTCAGGGATTTTGAAAAATTTAATCAGAGGCAGGAAAGCAAGATGTAGCCACAATAGCAAGATTAAGTATCCGGTGAATTTTTACCAGCTTAAATCTAAAGAATAAAATCAACAGACGTAATCAAACATAGATGAGAAAAAAAATGATTTTCATTGTCACTGGAAAATATTTTAAATTAAAATGTTTCATATGTCAACAATATCCAAAAGTAAGCTCCCCCAAGGAAGTTTCTTCTACATGCTTTCTCTTTGATTTGTTTTATTTTCTTAAATCAGAGGGGATGTGAAAAATCACGTTACTGTGTGAGCTAGGCAAATTTTTGCTAATAGTAAAACAACTATTTAAAATTATTATTTAGAATAACGCATGCATACTGGCTGCTTTCCTTTATAATTATGGTTTTGTAAACAGTAGGTATATGAAATAGCTTTTTAAAATATCAAGTGCAATTTGCATAGGTGATACACTATTGAAAACTTTAAAACCCAAGTGGGTACCTATATGTGGCTGTTTCAGCCAACTGTGAGGTTTGCGAAAACAGACACAAAAAACTAGGACCCTATGTAAAATGCACTGAAAAATGCTATTAGAGGTGTGATTTAAATATTAATCTTTTTATGTTAGCACATCCTGTAGTAAACGAAAAAAGCCAAACCCATACCCCAATTTTTAGCTTTAAAAAATTTAGGTTGCTGGCTGATATAGTCCCTTCTATGTAGGACAACTTTCTTCTTCTAAGAATGCCTTCCCAACTGAGAGATTCTGATATTCGAATGTTTCTAATTTTTCCTCTTGACCAGGAATCATAAAATTATTTTTTGGCCTTGATATCAAAAATAATTAACATCCATTTTCCTCTGTAAACTTTATGGAGTTAAAAAGCTGCATAATATGACCAACAGTCAGAATATAAACATGAAAAGCTCATTACCATTTACTTTCTGAGATTTGATGACTTGACAAATAACTATTTCAAAACAACTAGTTTGAAACATGGTTTGAAGCTTGTTAGTATAAAGCAAAAAGAGCAATTACAATAATTATAGGTTTCTCTATACGGTTTAACACATGCACACGCTGGCGAGAGCTGATGATGTGATCTTAAATTACCATTAGGAGGAAATTTTGCCACTTTTGTTTTCAATTTTATTTGCCATAATTTTATCTTTGTGGATTTGCTATATTTTTAGGTATGTGGAATTTGATCAAATATCACTTATAAAAATTCTTACTCCATGAACATGTAAGCTGTTATAAAAAAATCCCAATTTAAGGTAAGAACTATACTTACTAGAGAGCAGGTAATGCCTGATATACTTCTAACCGACTGAATGAGGACAGTGGCACACTTGGATAAAAGCTTGTATTCACAATACTTAAAAGAAAATGTACTGATTTTCTTTGGAAAAAAAAAAAAGAAAGAAACTATCTCACATAGTTAAGAAGTAAACCTTTTAAATTCCTTTTAGGGGAGACTGGATTCATTTATATTTAAACCTAATCTCACCTGAGGAAGAGCTGATTTTTAAAAATACATTCTGGTTTATTATCAAGAGTTAGCATTCTTTGACAGCTCTCATGTTATGATTTTTTAAGTTTTTGTCTAATGGAGTCCACACTTCTGGACAGGTACAGTCAGTCAGAAACAACGAACCAATCTGTCGTGGGATACATCATAGAAACACTTCCTAAGTTAAGGTAATAAAAAAATTCACCTTTTGTTTTGTTGGTCCTAAAATGTTATTGATTACAGTATTTCTCTTGCTAGGAAGTTAGAGGAGGAACACTGATTTTACAAACCCTGTAGCTGCCAGTTCAAAAAGAAGAAATTATAATTGTTATACCGCTTGATTGCATTCTTCCTACAACCTAAAATCACAGTGTTTTGGAATGATTTTCCATTTTTCTTCTTTTGTTTATTCACAGGGAAAACCTGCTTCCTCTGGCCTCTCTCAGTTCAGAGAGTTCAAACTGAATTTAAACAAGTAATTGACTTGTCACTGGGAAAAAAGAAGGAATTCAGTGCTGTGTTGTCTTCAGAGGAAAACGTGTGCAACAAATAGCTGACCACACTTAACTCCAACAATTCAGGTTAAGGCACACATTGGTCAGACATGCACAGGCACAAAAAAATGCACAAATATTCAAACCCCAAACAATAAATGAAACTCAAGAAATGTAAAGTCTCCTCGGATAGGCATTTTGAACAATTAACCCATGGCATACACAATCTCCACAAGATGTCTGGCACCAAATCAAACACCGCTGAATGCAGAATTAGAGCCAGTACAATACACACTGTAGAATAAACAAAAATCTGCTTCCTCAGTGTATGCATGAGGGCATTTTTTAAAATGGTATAGAGTTGGCCCCTTCCCTGGAATACACAACTGAACTTTCCTATCTGTTTCACAAAGCTAAGATGAAGAACTGGTAACCATCCGCCGTTTCAAAAGCTTTCTGCTGGTGTTCCAAATGGCTATTTTTCCCGACTCTAATGTATGTACAATTTGCCTCTTTCTAGTGTTTGAATCAATAGAGATACACATCACCAGATTTGTTTTTAATAAACGCCTTAAAACAGTTCCTATAAATACATTTCCTGTGACAGAGCGATCTTGATTTTATGAGTACCATCCTCTCAAAAAAAAAAAAAAATCTAACAACCAAAATATTTGGCAACTGAGAGGGCATATTAGTGATATGATGTCATATTCAGCATTTTATTATGGTGGAGGCAACTGGCAAGCTGTGGGAATGGAACACATATTTTTAAAAATTCCTTTTGGCTAAAAGGTAGTTAAAATATCCAAAACTCAAACTAAAATTTTGTCACTTCAGACATTTAAGATGCAAAATTAACAATTAACATATGAAAGATATATCCCTGGTAATCCCTAAAGATAA